GATGATTGTCATTCTGACAGGAGAGAGATGAAATCCTAGAGTAGTTTTGATTTGCATTTCTCTAATTGCTAGAGATGTTGAACACTTTTTCATATGTTTGCTGATTGATTATATTTCTTCTGTGAAGTATCTGTTCAGTTCCTTAGCCCAATTATTGATTGGATTTTTTTGGGGGGGTAAATTTTTGAGTTCTTTACATACTCTGGAGATTAATACTTTATCAGAGGTGCATGTGATAAAAATTTCCTCCCATCTGTAGGCTCTCTCCTCATGTTATTGTTTCCTTTGCTGAGAAGAAACTTTTTAGTTTGAATCCATCCCATTTATTGACTCTTGATTTTAATTCTTGAGCTTTAGAAGTCTTGTTGAGGAAGTCAGATCCCAGGCTGACATAGTGAAGACTTGGGCCTACTTTTTCTTCTGTTAGGCATAGGGTCTCTATTCTAGTGCTTAAGTTTTGGTCCACTCTGAGTTGACTCTTGTTCAGGGTGAGAGACAGAGGGTTAATTTCCAGTTTTGCCAGCACCATTTGTTGAGGAGGCTGTCTTTTCTCTAGTGAATGTTTTTGGCACCTTGGTCTAGTGTGACATAACCATATTTATGTGGGTTTGTCTCTGTGTCCTCTGTTCTGTACTATAGGCCTACAAGTCTATTTTGGCACCAATACCATGCCATTTTTGTTACTATAGCTCTATAGTATAGGTTAAGTTCTGGTATTGTGATGCCTCCTGCTTCACTTTTCTTACTAAAGATTGCTTAAGGTATTCTGGGTCTCTTATTTTTCCAAATAAATTTCATTATTGCTTTTTCTTTTTTTATGTACCTTTATTTATTTTTATGTTGTGCTGAGGATCGAACCCAGTGCCTCACACATGCTAGGCAAGTGCTCTACCACTGAGCCACAGTCTCAGCCCCTTATGATTGCTTTTTCTTTTTCTTTCTTTTTAATATTTATTTTTTAGTTGTAGTTGGACACAACACCTTTATTTTATTTATTTTTATGTGGTGCTGAGGATCGAACCCAGAGCCTTGCACATGCTAGGCAAGCGCTCTACCTCTAAGCCACAACCCAGCCCTGCTTTTTCTATTTCTATGAAGAATTTCATTGGGACTTTAATAGGAATTTATTAAATCTGTATAACACTTTTGGTAGTATGACCATTTTGACAATATTAATTCTGCCTATCCGGGAGCATGGGAGATCTTTCCATTTTCTGAGATGTTCTTCCATTTCTTTCTTTCTTTTTTTGAGGCTACTATGTGTGAGGTACTTTTCCTAATTTCTTTTTCAGTGGATTCATCGCTGATGTATAGGAATACATTTGATTTATGGGTGTTC